TGGGGAAAAAAAAAAAAAAAAAAAAAAAAAAAAAAAACACAAAAGAAAAATAATTTTCTGCGGCAGAAACGGCGCATTGTTACAAACTTACAACAGTGAATGTTCCTCCTAGGAACTACAACCTGCCAAATTATGAATTCGGTGCGGTACTTCAGGATTCTCTATATTATTGTTCTTGTATTTTAAGAATATATAGTCTCTTTCAAAAGATCATACACTAACGATCTAGCTTGTTTGTGAATGAATTTCCGAACAAAAGATTTATTCTATTTTATTCCGCCAAAATATTATATGAGAATAACGTAATCCATACTTTAATATATGGTACAAATAGCTACCAAATTCTAATCTTCCATACCCTGCCGGCCTTCAACCAAATATTTCAGTTTTACGTGATTTTAGGATATTAATTTCTATTGAATTGGATGTGACAAGAAGACCTCCAAACGCACGTATATTAATATCATGTTTAAATTGTAGTTTGTAAATCATGATCTTGTTTGACTTAATCAAATATTTTTACTCAAAAGGAAATCTTTGGCTCCTACAAAGGATCTGGTTAGAGTTCTAATCCCTATAGTGATAAGTCCTAAGTGAACATATCTCCTGTGGGTACTTAGAAGCTGTCTCCCAACTGGTTCAGAGATTAATCTAATAATCTCATGTTGGTCTTCGGGTAAATGAAAGTCATCTAAACAACGGTATCTGTAAAGACTAGTTCTGTCTGAACTGAGCCAATTTAGATTGTATAGTTGTCTAGGATTTAGAGAATCTATCCTAGAATTTGTCCCAATATCTATATTGGATTGTATGTCAACTATCTCTTCTAGCTGGCGTGTGTTTGAATTTGTTCTTCTAAGAAATCTATCTAAGATTCCAGGTTGTCTATTTATTGATTCTCCTATGGGAGTATGTCCTGTAAGGGTTTGTGAGGTTCCTGTAAAAGGAAGGGTTTGTGTTTGAGTTCTGTTTGTCATTTTCTAGGCTTGGCTAGAATATATTTGTTAGAACTGGTAATGGTAGAAGTATTAGTTCCAAGACTGAGCTTAGAAAGTTGTTTAGAGATTTTTTCTAAATCTCCGTTTATTGGATGAGTTTTTGTTTTCAGAATTTCAAAAACCTGATCTATCTTGTCCTCCAAAAGTCTTATCCTAGAAAGGATAATATTTTGGGTTTTTTTAACGCTATCTAGATTCTCTATAAGAGTCTCTAGATCTCTCTTAGTGGCCAGAACGTTACCGCTCTGATACCAGCAAAAACTCATCCAATAAACGGAGATTTAGAAAAAATATCTAAACAACTTTCTAAGCTCAGTCTTGGAACTAATACTTCTACCATTACCAGTTCTAACGAATATATTCTAGCCAAGCCTAGAAAATGACAAACAGAACTCAAACACAAACTCTTCCTTTTACAGGAACCTCACAAACCCTTACAGGACATACTCCCATAGGAGAATCAATAAATAGACAACCTGGAATCTTAGATAGATTTCTTAGAAGAACAAATTCAAACACTCGCGAGCTAGAAGAGATAATTGACATACAGTCCAATATAGATATTGGGACAAATTCTAGGATAGATTCTCTAAATCCTAGACAACTATACAATCTAAATTGGCTCAGTTCAGACAGAACTAGTCTTTA